GTGGGGGCAGGGCCACGGGTCCAGGCTCACCAGAACTTGCCTAGAAGCCCTTCTTCTGCCCCCTGATCCTTTTGTGGTTTTAAATTTTTTCTAATCCCTTAGTCTGAGGATCAATCGTTTTCATCACAGTAAGAACGGTCAGCACTTGTTCGCTTGTGTGGCCCAGGCACCGTCCCTAGGGCTTTGTGTCCATCACTGTACAGCAGCCCCGTGGCGGAGGGCAGGTGAGGAGACCGAGGCGGGGCTCCAGGGTCTGCTCCCTCAGCCACTGTGGCCTCCACCTTGTGGGATCTCAGGGGTGGAAGAGAAGAGCCTTGGGGACCCCCCCCCCCGCCCCCAGGGTCCCACGCAGGGTCCCACAGAAGGAGAAGGAGACATCTCTCTGCAGGAGGGAGTACAGGATGAGATTGTTCCCTGCTCGAAGGGAACTGTAGGGTTTGGTCAGAGTCTAGGAAACGGGTCCATGCAGAGGAGTCCAAGATTGGGGTGGTTGTAGTTTAGGGCTTGGCCTGGCGGGTGCCTTGTGCACATTTCCTGGACGAATGAGTGCCCTGCACCAAGAGCCAGGGGCTGTTGGCCAGACCTTGGCGCTGCTGCCTCCTGCCTGGGGGGCCTAGATAAAGCACCTGATATCTCCAAGCCTCAGTTTCCTCATCTGTAAAATGGGATCATGGAATCACTTCACAGGGTTAACTGAGAGTCCAGTGAGCTACTGTATGTATGTCTGCCTCTTAGCACAGAGCATCAATTCATGGGTGTGATCACTCTGGTTGTTAATCAAGTTCAGTAGCAAAGCTCACTGATTTCCCAGGAGCCCAGCTCACAGCTGAGAGGGAGCCCCTTGCGCCTCAGTTAGGACCCCCGTCCTGGCTACCCAGGCCCTGGGTGATCACATGCTTTCCCACCACTAACAGTGCCCCAGAGGGAGAACCTGCCTGCTTGAGCTTGTATGTCAGCCCTGCCTTGGAGTTGTGTGGCTTCCTTATCTCCCAGAAGCTCTGTCCTTCCAGCCTTGAGACAGCATGCAGCCAGGCCTGCGGCCCCAGGCTCCTTGGCCTTGGGTACAAGGAGGATGCTGGTGGAGCCTCTGTCCCTGTGGCCCCTCTACTGGCTGCTCATGGAAAGGACCAGAAACACAGGCAACTCTGATAGGGGCATGGCAGTGTTTGCTTGCCTCCTGTCCCCATCTGTATTTGACAAGTCCGTCAGCCTCTGGAATAGAGGAGGAAAAGGATGAGTCCTTCCCTGCCTGATACTTGGTCTGGGAGGAAGGAGGGGCAGCCTCCAGACCTTGAGGTATAAATGGGCAGGCTTGCCAGCATCCGCCTGCACAGGAGGCCCTGCGTGGGGCCCAGGAGCCAGACACGCACAAAGCATGGTGGGCTTGAGCTCTGCTTTGTCCTTTTGCGAGTGATCGTGAGCAGGTTGCCCCCCTTCCCTTCTTCTTCTGAGTCTAGAGCACATCAGAGCCCAGGCCTGGGAGGCAGGCCTCCTCCAAGGGTTTGAGTCCCCATTTCTGCTCTGTGGCCTTGGGCGAGGCCCTGGCCTCTCTGAGTCTCAGGGTCATTCTTTCTGTAAAGAGGGGCTGGATTAGGCTACCCAGTTCAGGCCAGAGAGCCTGGAGTTCAGTCCAGCAATGAGGTTAAGTGTTTGCTTCCGCCTCCCACCTTCCTCACCGCCCCTTTTCCTGGTCTGTGTGCCTGAGGCTTGGGCTGCAGCTTGGGGACCGGGGAGGAGAGGGAGACTCGGGGGTGGAATAAGACGGTTTTCTGGCTCCTCCCTTGTCCTGAGATGTCTGTGGTCAGCTGCCAAGGAACAGTAAGGAGCCTTTCGTGGGGCCCAGAACTGGCTGGAGAAGGTGGGGGGGGCACAGAGATCCCCCCACAAGACCTGAGTCCCACATGGGGCCAGGGGCGGCCTCAAAGTAACAGCTGAGGGCCTGAGCCCACCGGGATGCGAAAGTAGCAGCTTGTAACCCTCGGTCATGGGTTCATCCTGCCCTTGATTTCGAGTGACCCGGAGCAGTGGAAAGCCTTCAGAGGAGGCACTGTCCTGAGCTTTTCATCCCTAGAACTTTCCAGAGGGGTTGGCAGAGTAGGGAGCCACCCGGGGATGCCTATGGCCCAGGAAGAATGAGACCCGCCCCAGGCCCCGCTCCCAGCCCCGCCTGCCTCAGTTTCGCCCCCGGCCAGCTGGACGACGCGCTCCCGGGACTGCCGAGGTTCCAGCGCCCACCCGAGCCCTAACCACCGCCTCTCTCCTCCACAGGCTCCCCCCTGCACAAGCAGGCCTCGGGCCCCCCGGCCGCAGCCCCCGCCGCCCCCGAGAAGCCCGGCGCCAAGGCGGCCGAAGTGGGCGACGAGTTCGTGGGGGACTTCGTGGTGGGCGAGCGCGTGTGGGTGAATGGCGTGAAGCCGGGCGTGGTGCAGTACCTGGGCGAGACACAGTTTGCGCCGGGCCAGTGGGCGGGCGTGGTGCTGGACGAGCCGGTGGGCAAGAACGACGGCGCCGTGGGCGGCGTGCGTTACTTCGAGTGCCCGGCCCTGCAGGGCATCTTCACGCGGCCTTCCAAGCTGACCCGGCAGCCTGCGGCCGAGGGCTCGGGCAGCGACGCGCACTCGGTCGAGTCGCTGACCACCCAGAACCTGTCGCTGCACTCGGGCACGGCCACACCGCCGCTGACCAGCCGCGTCATCCCCCTGCGGGAGAGCGTCCTCAACAGCTCCGTCAAGACCGGCAACGAGTCGGGCTCCAACCTCTCCGACAGCGGCTCTGTGAAGCGGGGTGACAAGGACCTGCGTCTGGGAGACCGTGTGCTGGTGAGTCCCCCCACAAGCACTCCACCCCACGTGAGTGAGCTGGATCCCCGGGAGTGGGCAGGGCGGGGGACCCACGGGGCTTGGGCTGGGGCACCCGCTCCTGGTCAGAACCACAGAGTGACCAGGGAGACAGGTAAAGTGGGTACCCTGGAGACTGTCACTGTGTGACCCTGGACAAGTGTCTTAACCTTCCTGGGCCTCGGTCTTCCCATCTGTAAAATGAGAACTTTAATAGTACCTGCCTTGTAGGTTGAAATGTGTGAATACGTGTTAGTGCCTTTAGACAGTGCCTGATACTTAGTGCCCTCAAAATGTTAGCCGTCATTGATATTATCCATTGATCCAGCCCACCAGTGTGGATGTGCCAGGATTATACTGGAAAAGGCTGGGGACCAGAGTGCTCAAGACCCTTGGCCCTCCACTTCCTAGAGTAATGAAAATAAAAACAAAAATAAACAAATGGGACCTAATTAAATGTAAAAGCTTTTGCACAGCAAAGGAAACCATAAACAAAACGAAAAGACAACCCACAGAATGGGAGAAAATATTTGCAAACGAAGCAACCAACAAGGGATTAATCTCCAAAATATACAAACAGCTCATGCAGTCAATATCAAAAAACAACCTATTCACAAAAAGGGCAGAAGATCTAAATAGATGTTTCTCCGAAGGAGACATACAGATGGCCAAAAAGCACGTGAAAAGATGCTCAACATCACTGAGAGATGTTGAGATGTTATTAGAGAAATGCGAATCAAAACTACAATGGGGTATCATCTCACACGGCTCAGAATGGGCATCATCAAAAAGTCTACAAACAGTAAATGCTGGAGAGGGTGTGGAGAAAAGGGAACCCTCCTACACTGTTGGTGGGAATGTAAATTGGCACAACCATTATGGAGAACAGTATGGAAGTTCCTTAAAAAACTAAATATAGAACTACCATATGACCCAGCAATCCCACTCCTGGGCATATATCCAGAGAAAACCATAATTTGAAAAGATACATGCACCCCAGTGTTCACTGCAGCACTATTTACAGTAGCCAAGACATGGAAGCAACCTAAATATCCATTGACAGAGGAGCGGATAAAGAAGATGTGGTACGTATATACAATGGAATATTAGCCATAAAAAAGAACGAAATAATGCCATTTGCAGCAACGTGGATGGACCTAGAGATCGTCATACCGAGTGAAGTAAGTCAGACAGAGAAAGACAAATATCATATGATATTGCTTATTTGTGGGATCTTTAAAAAATAGTACAAATGAACTTATTTACAAAACAGAAATACAGTCGCAGACATAGAAAACAAACTTATGGTTACCAGGGAGGAAAGGGGGGGATGAGTTGGAAGATTGACATATACATACTACTATATATAAAATAAATAACTAATAAGGACCTACTGTATAGCACAGGGAACTCTACTTAATACTGTGTAATGACGAATATGGGAAAAGGATCCAAAAAAGACTGGATATATGTATATGTATAACTGATTCACTTTGCTGTACACCTGAAACTAACACAACATTGTAAATCACCTATACTCCAATTAAAAAAAAAGAAAAAGACCCCTGGCCCAAGGTTGGGTGGTTCAGACATCTAATCAGCTATAACCCAGAGTGGTCAGGCAAGCTGGCTTACAGTCTCACTGAGCTGTCCTTGGGGCTGCCTGGGATCTGAGGGCACCTGCTGGCTGTGGCCACTGCAGGGAAATCAGGCCCAGGTTCGTGCCTTTGCTGCTATTTCCCAGCTGTGTGATGCTGGGTGATTCACTTAACTGGGCCTCATTCCCATTCATTCATCATCTGTCCGTTCAGCAAAACGGGCATAGATAACTCCCGTGTGATACTTTCGTTGGGATCATTGAGAAGCTGCTGGCCGTGGAAGTCCATCGTCGTTACCAAGGGCTCTGGCTGTGCAAGACCTGGGTAGTGTCATGTGAGTGCCCTGTGGGGTGGGAAGTGGAGCCCCTTAGGGTTATTGACCATCCCTGAATGCTCCTCAGGTTGGGAGAGGAGAGAGGTTTAACCCCAGTGTGATCCTGCCTGGAACTCCCCTTGCACCTGCTCCCCCCTCAGGGAGTGAGAACTGGACGTACTGAGCAGGGGGCACTCAGGCTGTCACGAGGCAGGCCCTGCTCTGGAATCTCCGCCAGACTGCAGCCCTTCAGCAGGGTTGGCAGTAGCAGCAGACGGGCCCCAGTGACTTCCCAGCCTGAGACTGGGTTGCATCCTGTGGTTTGAAACACTGCTTTTTCCAGGGCGAATCCATGCCCAGCACTTTCTGCACCTTGTCTCTCTTGGTTCTCCCCACTGCCTTACGCAGTGGGTTTTATCTCCCCATTTTACAGATGAGGAAACTGGGCTCAGCCCTGGAAAACAGCCTGCCCAGGGCCACTCAGCCAGGAGGTGCTGGGCCATTCATTCCTTTATTCACTCATCAACTGTGACTGCCCTGGAAACAGGACATGCTTGGATTCCGGTGGGTTGGGGAGAGGAATTTGAAGGAGGGATTTACTTTCACCTCAAGGATGGAGCCCCACATGCCCCACCCTACCTAGTCCACAGCTTCCCTTGGGTTAGTCCTCCGGCCTGGACCGCTGTGCACAGCCAGGATCCAGCTGGCTCGGCCGACCCTGGGACTTGCTACATCCCCCTTGTGCCTTCTATAAACACCTGACACATCATCTTCCTATCCCTACCCCTCCCTTTAACAAATTACATCCTGGACATGAATGAAGGTAGAGCCCTGAGCTTATACAATTTGAGGGTGGGGGCTTTTTAGGAAACAACAATACAAAACATACTGCTTTCGCAAATTTTACAAATCATGTGATCCCATGAATGTATTGTCAGGGCCCTCCCCACCCAGAGCCTCCAGAGAGGCTGGTGTATGTGAGGGGCTCTGATTACCTAAGCTACGTAAGCTTCACCAGCCACAAACCTGCTTCTGACCCAGGTCAAAGGCATGGACAGTATTTGTCATTTTTGAACATAAATAACAGAATTTATGTCCGTTAAGTTGCGCTGCTCTTCAGTGATACCTCTGGGTCCTGGTTTCATTTGGGCCTCAACACTACCCCAGGAGGTCCGTGTACTCGCCAAATAGTCGTGGGCAAGTTGTTTATCCTCTCTCTGCCTCAGTTTCTTCACCTGTAAGATGGGGATAAAAGTTCACCTGCTAGGAATTCCCTGGCAGTCAAGTGGTTAGGACTCTGTGCTTTCACTGCCGGGGCCCAGGTTTGATCCCTGGTTGGGGAACTAAGATCCTATAAGCTGCACAGCATGGCCAAAAAAAAAAAAAAAAGTTCACCTGCTGCATACGTAGTGTTTAGAAGGTGGTCTGGCTCCAAGTAAGCTCTGTGAAGTGTTAGCTGGTGTCAGCATTAAAGTCCATGAAGGGTGGGCATTCTCCCTGGGCCATGGGGTCCTGGGCACAGGGAGGGACTCAGAGCTCGGGAAGCCTCTCTGAGGTCACACAGCGGCTCATGTCGGCCTGCATGTCCTTGGCTTTCACTGGCCGAGTGCTCGCTGGGAGCAGAGCCTTGTGCCAAGAACTTTACACACAAAATCCATTTCCTCTTCAACCCTGAGGGGCCCTGGCCCCTGGAGGAACCCCTGGGAGGGTGACACAGGGGGAACATGCCTGACCTTCCTGGGATAGTGTCACTTAAATACTGGGAATCTTGTCACATGCCTGCCAGAGCCAAATTGGCAGAATTTTCAGGTGTGGTTTGGAGTTCCACACTGGGCTGCATGGATTCACCTCTTACTATCCCAGCTGCCCACGACACACATGTTCATTGTTCCATTTTACAGGCTGAGGATGAGAATCAGAGGCCTGAGTTTCCCACAGCACCCAGAGTGGAAGTGGCAGAGCTGGGCTGTCCTGCCTTTGTCCTTCCCGCCCTCGGCCCCTCCCCCACCCCAGGACACACATAGGCACATGCACATGCACACGCGCGCGTGCGCGCGCGCACACACACACACACACACACACACACACACACACACACACACACACACACAGAGAGAGAGAGATAACCTTTCTGGCTAATCCCTGAAATTCCTCCAGCATTGAATTATTCTATTCCGCCCCAACTTCCTCTTCTGAAATCCTCCCTCCCTGAGTGCTCCCATAGCTCGGACTGGGTGAGTTTGGGGTAGTACTTAAGGATCCTGGGTGTCTGGAGTTGGGGCGCATGGCAGAGGTGGGAGCAGAGAGATGCAATGACTTGTCCAAGGACACGCAGCCTTTTAGAACATGCCTGGCACAGCTGAGACGGGACCCAGGCCCACTGGCCCAGCCTGGTGGGACCCTGGCATCCCAGGCCACCTCTCTATTTCTTTCTGCTTGGGAACACCCACCAATTCCTTTGGTCCTGGGCACCTTCCAGGCCCGGGGAGCCTATGGGGGGCACTCGGCTGCCTAGCTGGCCTGAGACATAGCTGCTGTGTGTGTCCCCCAAGGTGTGGTCCCGAGGGTCCATCCCAGGAAGTGGGGTGTCCGCGTGGCTTTAGGGATGTTGCTCCAGAGGCAGCAGGGCTGGTGCGGCAGACTCTACAGCCAGCCATTAGTTTGGGATTTAGGTCACGGAAGAGAAGAGACATTCCAGGAGAATTAACGGAGAAGCAGGAACCGAGACTATGTAGAAAGGCAGCTTGAGAACTGGTGGCACAGAAGAGGGGTAGGAAGACAGCCCCACCCGGGGGCTGATCCAGACTCAGACAGGCCTGCTGGGGCAGAGACCACCGGGCCTTAATCACTCATTGTACAGGGAAGGACGGTGAAGGTCAGAGAGGGTGAGCTGTTGCCTGGGGTCACACAGCACATCATGGGCTGGCCTAGAACAGGAGCTTTGGGCTTCTATCTACCAGTCCTGGAATGTCCTCTATCCCGCCAACCCCGAGTGGATCCAGCAGTCCAGGTGGACGGCTGGAAGTATCTTGGTCAGCTACAGTTGCCAGCATGGGTTATGATTAGCAAGG